GAGGACGGCAGAGGATGAGATGGTTAGATAGCATCACTGAAGCAATGAGCATGAAACTCAGAGCAAACTCTGGGAGGCAATGAAGGACAGGAAGGCCTGGTGCACTATGGTTCATGGGGTCACGAAGAGTCGGACACGACTAAACAACATCCCTGTGGGTTCACCTCTAGCTTTATCAGCCTTTCTTAAAGCTTTCTCCTAAGACATCCCACTTCCCCTATTAAATCAGTATGGCTAGGAAGGATCTCAGATTCCTTCCCCTCTTGCTTCTGTTCCCTCTGAGCTCTTGTGGTTACTCCCACTACTTTAGCCTCTTTTCTGAAGCCTTTTGTTTGAATCCAACCCTCAGTAACTGGAAAATCTGTTCCAATCACTAGGTTACATGGCAATTTAGGGATTACTCCTACCACCCTTACCTGTTCATTTCCCTTTGCCTGTATTCTGGCTCTAACCAACAGGACCATCTCAGTCTGCCCAAACAGACTTATAAGAGGCTCTTTTCCCATATATACTGCCTTTTTTACGAAATGAGGTGTCCTGTGCCTGACTGCCTGATTTGTTTCCCCCCACCTTTCCCCATTCGCAGAATTTCCCTCCTTGCAGAGGAGAGAGGTTGCTTAAACAAGCAATCTCTTTGTTAGAAAGAAACCTTACGAGGTTCATCTCCGAGGCGGGAATAAACACGCAGGTGGTTGCAGGAGAGAGCAGTGAAATTGACTAGGGAGCGCTCTAAGGTCAGGCACCCTCCTGTGTTTGCCTTATCTGCTATTGTCGAACTGGAATGTAGATCCCTTCCGGGAAGAAATCTTTTTATGATTTGATTAGGCTTCAAGGACTGTTGGCCCTTCCTGTTAGGTCTTTAGTTATTTAATTTTGGGCTGGGGTGGAAGCCTCGATTCTTCCTGCTATCTTTTTAGGTGAGCCCATTCTTACTATAATTTAATCGTATGGCTTGATTGCTGTTAAGATAAACAATGGTAGGGGGAGACAAATGGGAAGCTTTGACTTCCTGCTGACATGGGGGTGGGGGGAGAATTTGATTTCTTTCTCACATCTTCCTGAACTGCTTTTCTTTGTAATCGTTTGGGTCTCTAAAAAGTTCTAGCTCTTAGCTGCAATCTGAAATTGGCAAAGGCCCTATTCAGTTTCACCCTAAAGGTTTTCTTCTGAAGTGGCAAACAAAGTCCCAGCTCCTGGCAAACAGCTGGCATGAAGGCATTCCTTTCAATGTGTATTCCCCATTGTGCTTGCTCACTCTCTTGTAATCTTTTTCTTTTCAATGAATGCAAATAATCCCAGAACAAAAGGCAAGAATTCCAAGGGTGGGGGAGTGGGGAAAGGGGGCTATAAGATTCACCCCCTTTTTCCCAGCTTCCTCATGGGTTGAGTTCATAACTTTCCCTGCTGTTTGGGGTCACCCAGCTGTTTTGGGGTCGCATCCTTCTGATGCAGTAAGCATTCAGGGGCGATTTCTCAATAAACTTTTTTCAAGATTATTAATGTCCTGGCATCTCCTTTAGCGCTCTTGTTCTTTGGTATCAGTCCTGCAAATTCTAAATTAAGTGTCGACATGCAGATTAACGGAAACATGAGGACATAACTAACATCCATCTACTTCCGATATCTACCAGGCCTCTGACAGTCACCTCATTAACTTTTGCTGGAACCATAATTTTGTTCCCCAAGAGATGCTTGCACCACTGCAGACATTCCCCTTTTCCTTGGTTTTCACAATCTTTTGATAAATGTCCACGTTTCCCATAGTTGTAACAACTACAGGTCTCTCTATCTTCCCGATGTCTTCCTTTCATCTGGGCGGGACCCAAAGGCTTCTTTACACCTTTCTCCTTCAACTTTCCTGCTCTTTATGGTCCCTCCTTTCTGAAACAATGAAACGTCTCCAAACAACAGCAAAGCTTAGAGAGCACCAAGGACGCCACAGTTCAACTCTGGGCTACCTATATCCTCTTCTATTGGAGAAGTTGGAGCATACTGGCTGGGGAATTCTGGGAGTTGAAGTCCACACAACTGAAAGTTGCCAGGGTTGAAAAACGCTGGTGTGGGGAGTACAGAAGATAATCTTGGTAGAGACACGCAGAGGTTTTTGCTTAAGCCAAAGCAGCCGAAGCCGGGGCTGCAGCTTCCAAAATTCCCAGCCAGCATGTCCAGAATCTCAGCTAACATTCAGAAGCGGCTCAGGGAGACGTCTCCCTAATTCTCATGGGTATGAGAGAGGGGAGGAGGTCCAGCACAATCAGACTTGCAAGGCTCTGTTATTTACAGTCTCAGTAAAATCAGTATTAACATTCCTGTGGAGTTGATTTCAAGGTGTGCCTCCCTAGAGGGGATGACGATAACCCTCCGAGTTTTAACTCTTTCAAAAGAGGCTAAAGGTCTCTCCTTCGTGGGTGGGGATGGCCTCTGAACCTCAGGGCATGCCATTCTCCGCCAAGCCCCTCACTGCAGCATGGTTGCAGTGCCAACAGGTGGATTTACCAAGAGACTCTATTCCTTGTGGCATTTCTGCCGCGTCACACTGGAGCTCAAGAAATGAAGCTGGCTTAGGGCCAGCACCATTCAGCTGAAAGCAGGTTGGTGTAAAGCAGTGTTTCTCAACCTCAGACACTGTTAAGATGCATGGACTTCAACTCCCAGAACTCCCCAGCCAGCATTCTCCAGCATGGCTGGCTCGGGAATTCTGGGAGTTGAAGTCCACACAACTTCAAGTGGCTGAGATTGAGAAACACTGGTGTAAAGCAATCCACTGGCCCCAATCCCGGTTGGCTTTTCTTACGAAGGTAGAATGCAAACCGGACATTCGCCTCTGTTTCACCCGTGTAATTTGGGACCGACTTGGGACCTTAAGCCACGTGGACAGTTTTTACTGGAAAATCCCAACTGCCCCAGAGCAGGGGACTGCAGTGCTGGCTGGGAATCCTGGGAGCTGCAGTCCAGCCCTTCCAGCCTGTTGTGCCGACTTAGGCCTGAGGGCGCTTTGGGCCCGGCTTCGCCGCGGGCCCTCGCAGGCGCTCCCTTCCCGCACTGAGCCGCTCCTCGGAACGGGAACCGGAAGTTGCCCTTCCGCGCGCGACTCTTCCCGGATCGTAGCTCTGGGGCTGCGGAGGGCGGGGGGCCGGGGGG